CTTTCAAATTTATGTCACAGCTGATAATATGTGTCATTTACAGCTCCATATTTTCACTCCTGGTGTGGCTTTGCATGTGTCAGTTTTTACACTGTGCATGCTCTGAAACCAGCTGCTCTAGCTCCTTTACCCTCCCTCTAAGCCCCCTTTCTTGTGACTGGCTGCCCCTCAAAAAGCTTTCGTAGCAAGTGGGTGGGGCTTCTGGGCTCAGAATCCAAGCTGCGTGCCTGAGATGGCCATATCGGGTATCTGCTTTCAGTAACATCATACAGAGCCAAGAGTTGATTTGCTGATAATTGATGCAAGAGCTTGACAGAAAATCTGGATCTCTTTGAAATCCTTTTGTTTTTCCTCATCAGATTGTCTTTGCATAAGAGTGGGAAATGTGAGGTGCAAGCATTTACAGGCCTTAAGTATTAGCAAGGGTAGCAACACCTGACCCGAGGGCTTCTTACACCATGTTCACCATGATTTACCTGTGACCTTTTCCACAGTCACTCACCTGTCCTGTCACTGTAATTCCTATTAGGAGAAACCAAATGCTGTATTGTAAAGTTGAGGTGGGAATTCTCTTGTTAATGGATTCATGCTTTTATTTTTTTAATTTAACTGGTGCTTGGAAATAAACTGCAGAGAATGGATGTTCTGACATTTTACATTTGAATCATTTTCTTGGAGTTCTGAGGCGTGCCACAGTTAGCTTAGCATAGATTAGCAAGACTAGAAATAACAGGAAACAACCCAAATGCACTCAAGAGACAATCCAGGACTTCACCTGCTGTGTAATGTCACTTATATCTGTTTTCCCTACAAAGCAGTGCTAGAGCCCAAACTAGAACCAGTCATATTTGCCAGAAGAAAAACAAAAAGACTTTTCTAATGCCAGAAAAATAACGGTGGTCACCAAATAGGAACCTGGCTAATCGCTGGCTGTGGAAATTCAACAAGGATCAGCAGATCCAGACCACATATTGTAACACCTATGTCCAAAAATCAGTCAACAAACTTATCAAAATGTGGTTTGAATCTGAAAAGACTTCAGGGCAGAGAAGAGGTACAGTCGTGTGAAAGTAAAAGTTTTCACAGGCCTTGCTGAAATACTGAGTTTCTTTGCTAATCTGGACCATTGAGGTTAACCCCAAAGCCTCAAAACTGCATGCCAGGCTCTCTCTAAAAGTTAAAGTTCATGATAAAACACTTCACACTGGTATTAGATCAAAGTGCAGTCCGGCTCTAGATGATCTCTTCAGCATAACACAGTGATGTTTCGGATATAGTTGTTTCTCCCACTTCTGTGGAGAGCTTCGGCTAATTTTGGAAGGAACTCATTTCAAACCTAAGAATTTATAAAAGGTCCCTATAAAGCTTAACACCAAACTGATCTTTCAGTTGATCTTTCCGAGTTAACTTCAATAATTACTTCCTCCAAACCATCAACGTGTCTTTTAGACCCCATTCCTACAAAACTGCTCAAAGAAGTCCTGCCATTAATTAATGCTTCGATCTTAAATATGATCAACCTATCTCTAATAATCAGCTATGTACCACAGGCCTTCAAGCTGGCTGTAGTTAAACCTTTACTCAAAAAGCATCTCTAGACCCAGCAGTCTTAGCTAATTATAGGCCAATCTCCAACCTTCCTTTATATCACACATCCTTGAAAGAGTAGTTGTCAAACAGCTAACAGATCATCTGCAGAGGCTTATTTGAAGAGTTTCAGTCAGGTTTCAGAGCTCATCACAGCACAGAAACAGCTTTAGTGAAGGTTACAAATGATGTTCTTATGGCCTCTGACAGTGGACTCATCTCTGTGCTTGTCCTGCTAGACCTCAGTGCAGCGTTCGATACTGTCGACCATAATATCCTATTAGAGCGATTAGAACATGCTGTAGGTATTACAGGTACTGCACTGCAGTGGTTTGTATCATATCTATCTAATAGACTCCAGTTTGTGCATGTAAATGGAGAGTCCTCTTCACACACTGAGGTTAATTATGGAGTTCCACAGGGTTCAGTGCTAGGACCAATTCTGTTTACATTATACATGCTTCCCTTATGCTGGGCTCACACTGTGCGATTTTTGGCCCATTTTGAGCTGATTTTTGAGTCGTGCAACCGTTTTGGCGATCGGCCCGATTTTGGCCTTCATCGTGCATTGTGTAGTATACGTGGGGTAACAAGAAGCGATTGACACCTCACGACCAGCTCCCGATCATCAATCGCTTGGTCGTGAGGATTTCAAATCCTCGCGACCGTCGTGAGGGTGTCACCGCAGTTTGTCACACTGCGCATACGCAAATGTCAGCGAAAAAGACGGCGCAGCACGACAGTGCAGCGTGTGATCTGGACACAAGCGATGGAGGCACAACTTGTAGAACTTTGGAAAGCTCATCCGAGCCTTTTCGATGTGGCCTCACAAAATTATCACGACCACAACAACCGTGAAAATAGTTGGATCTACACTGCTGCTCAATCACAGCTGCCTGACCAATGTTTTTCATTAGCAATTTAGCAAAGTTGATGGTGGTGGTGTGTCTGTGTGAGTGAAAGACAGAGAGGGAGAGCGAGCGACAGAATTTCTGTTATAACCTTCATTTTATGGACGCACAGTGTGACTCAGGTCACATCAGAGCATCGGGCCGTATAGTGTGAGACCCTGCATCGTGACCTATCAACTTCTAACCCCTGCGAGTCAATCGTGCAGTTTGAGCAGGAGCTGAATCGCATGACTGAAAAAAATCGCACAGTGTCTGCCCAGCTTTAGGCAGCATCATTAGAAGACATAGCATACATTTACACTGCTATGCTGATGACACCCAGCTCTATCTGTCCATCTGTGAGTTTTTCCTTTCCAGTCACCTTTCTCACTCACTATGTATTAACAGACCTCTCTGCATTGGATCATATCTGTTATTAACCCCTGTCTCTCTTCCACAGCATGTCTTTATCCTGTCTTCCTTCTCTCACACCAACCAATCACAGCAGATGGCCCCGCCCCTCCCTGAGCCTGGGTCTGCTGGAGGTTTCTTCCTGTTAAAAGGGAGTTTTTCCTTCCCACTGTCGCCAAAGTGCTGCTCATAGGGGGTCATATGATTGTTGGGCTTTTCTCTGTATCTATTATTGTAGGGTCTACTGTACAATATAAAGCGCCTTGAGGCGAGTGGTGTTGTGATTTGGCGCTGTATAAATAAAACTGAATTGAATTCAAACAATACATCTTTATGTTTTCTCTGTAGCTAAGTTCCATTTCTGGGTAAAGCTTGTTTTTAAGTGTGAACCTGTCGATCCTGAACCACAGACTCTGCGTTGGGACTTCCCATGATGCACTGAACATATCTCCTCCAGCATTTACATGGCTGTCCCTTGATGATCCTGGTTCTGTCAGAGACCTCTACCTGTAAAAATGGAGCTCTTCCTTCCCACTGTTGACAAGTGCTAGTTTATCCGAGGGTGTGCCCTCCAATGCTGTCATAGGTCACAATAGTCGGTGCCATAATAAATTGCGTAAAAACAAACGCACCTATGCTCCTACGTTTAGACTTCTCTGACATAATTAAGAACAGCTCAGGCTCAGGTGAGCAGCAGCACACTAACAAAGGGAAAGGTGGCCGTTTACGTAATCCTGACAAAGTTACGCAGTTGTCGCTGGACACGCGCGCGTTCAGCTTGGACTCTGTCAGATGTTTGACTTCCGGTGTCGCGCGGCAAGTGGGTGGCGGCGAATGCCTCCCTGTGCACGTGCCTCTGACGTTTACGTGCACATCGCTCATTAAACGTATTTTCGTGCTTTTTTTTAATCGCACATCACCAGAGCTTTAACGTGGGAAGACTAAGGTTAAAGCAAAACACGCTAGCGTCGCCGTGTCCGCGTGTAAAGTCAGCTACCGAGTTTATTGCGCTTCTCCCCGTAGTTTCACATCGCCGCAGAAAGCGTTTGTTCACACTTGCTGCCCTGCCCGTCTTTAATCTGGTTTAAAATGACTACACTGAGCCTGCTGACGTTCATGCCACACTGACACCGCAGCACAGGATGGAGAGGTGTACTCACTGCTGGATGGAGCCTCTCTGTGTTTGTCTCCACATGAAGCAGCGTCGCGGTGTTTTCCTCCTCACTCTCTCTTCTCACACTCTCTCATGCTTCTTGTTTACTGTCTTATCCGGGGATTTTCACCTTCCCCTCACTGCAAAACATGCATCGCTTCATGACAACTTTATATATTTATTTAAGCGCGTGGTGGAGGCTGCCATCTCCTGGCAGATGTGTGGCACTGGCTCCCGGCTGGGTGTCCGCGGTTATGTAACGCGACATAAAGCGGTCAGACGATGCCACGTAAAGCAGATAAAGCGTGCTGTGGATTAGAGTGGGAATGGTTTCAAATGTGTGCGTCAATTTGTGTTGTGTTGTCACTCTTACTTACATTTATCAGACCGATGATGTTTTCTCCGTCCTCCTCCTGTGCCGTCAGTGATCTCATTGAACACCCTGAGAGACAGACCGTCGCTGTGTTTTTAAGAGAAGACCAATTAGATTTAGCCCTTTAGGCACAGATGTGTTGTAAATGTAAACTGTTATATTTAAATTACATATAGTAATGGGTCTTTGATATACAAAAACTGTAAGTATTATTACCATCCTGAATACTACAGAGCTGCCACCAAAGCTGGAGCAGGAGAGAGCTCGCAAGTGTTTGTGTGTTATGGAGGCAAATTTAAATTCATGTCTGCAGGCTGTTCGACATCTGGGTCCCGTTCAGCAAAGAAGCAAAAATGGGAAGGAAAGAGACATGGCAGCCAGCATGTGGATAAAATGTCATCCTCGTAACCTCAAGCCACATCTCATGAACTGAGTCAGGGCTCTAACAGTTGAAAACGTATCGGGTTATTTATCCCCAACACTGTCGCTGTCACTGTCACTTATCAGGTCAGACGTGCGAGTCTCCTGTCGGACAGCAGACGAGGCGCCAGCTAAACAACAACATCAGCTGGTTATAAAGTTCTGTACACTAATGTTAGGCTTGGTGTCCAGAAATCACACGTTCTCCCTGATAAACACTTAGATTACGTTCTTACATGATTTGAGAGTTTATTCGCTAAGTGTCTGTGTCCAACAATGTTAGATCCACTTCAATACAATTATCACTAGCACAGGCTAACAGCTGTAAAAACAGCGGCAGAGCTGAGGCAGCATTTTCACTTCTATGCAGATGAACCCCAAATCTAACCGGCCATCAAGGCAGATAACACACAACAACTATTTAAACTGCAGGAATGACCGATGATGTCCTCCTAAATTCAGATCAAACTGAGGTTCTTGTACTCGGCCCTGACAATCTTAGAACCAGATGTTTACTCTGGAACATGATGAAGAGGCATTTTTTTAAAAATGTATTGACAGCAATGTTGAACATTATTACACAGGAAAAAACAACTACACGTAAGATAATCACACTGTGACGCCTCTGCCTTTGTAAACAGAGGGACAGTAACTGTGTGTAAAACCTGCAGACAGTCAGATTAACAGTATTGTGTCTCTATCATTCTGCAGTTCATCTCATGTAAACAGTAACGTGGCCACAGCGTGACGTGAAAAAAGCACATACCTTTGACGTTGCGTGAGGAACTCTGTATTCCTCGTCCACACGTAAACGCAAAAAAGGAGTTTAAAAAAATCTCAGTTTTCGGTGATTCGAAACATCGTTTACGAGGACGAAACAGCTGCGTTTTCAAAAATACCCGTGTAGGTGCGGACGCAGCGTAAAAGAGTTAGTAGTTTATTTTATTACTACCTGTAATTTATTGCAGATTACTTGTATTTGTTTAATTGTTTACTAAATATTTGAGGTGTGAAATGAACCGCAACGGAGCAAAATATGGGCGCGTGTGGTTGGAGGGTGTGTTTGTGGGGGGGGCAACATTTTTCTTGTAAAACAAAGCAGGGCCAGCAAAAAAAGTTTGGGGACCACTGGCCTACGCTAACTACAGATGAACAGCTGTCTGTCCTGTAGCAGCAAAGATCTGCACTGTGAGCGGGAGGGATAAAACTATTTGGTTTAACTGCGGTCTGAAATCTACTGACATCTAGTGGTGAGATTTTACACATTCTGCCTACATTTAGCTCCCTAAACATCTGGTGATGGTATCAGCCCCCAAACACAGAGTCTGATAAGGTTTATTATAAATGTGCCCTCTCAGCTTTCTTTATGGGGAGGCTTTAAAATTCAAGTTTCTCAGAGACAGAAATAGCACCTCTTTTTCCACCTAATGAGCCAAAGTGATGTAGTTCCCATGACATCTTAAAATAGTCACATTTAAACTCAGCGTTTAAACTGGCTCAGGATCAGTTTGTGTTTGTAGTGGACAAACTGCCTCCAAATATGGAGACATTTCTAGAAAAAATAAAATGATATAAAACACATTATTCAGTTTTAAATGAGCTATGGACCTTAACCAGGCGTACGGTGTGTGTGTGTGTGTCTCAGATGAGGCTGAGCAATGAGGAAGTGGAGCAGAAAGAGAGGAAGGGCAAAGTCAGGGAAGGAAACACGTGTGTGTTTCCAGTGTTCTTCTTTAATGATGCTGACTTTATAATAGGGCACCCCCAGGGCTGAACATGGCTTGGTGTCATTACCTTTTCATTTGACAACTCAAAAACCCCTTCCTGTTTTCGATGTTGCATGGCGTCATGGCACTCACACACGCACTCACACATGCACACACACACGCACAGACACATGCACTCACACACATGCACTCACACACGCACACACACATGCACTCACACATGCACACACACATGCACACACACACGCACTGACACACACACTCACACACATGCACTCACACACGCACTCACACACTCACACACACATGCACTCACACATGCACACACACATGCACTCACACACGCACTCACACACGCACACACACATGCACACACACACGCACTCACACATGCACTCACACACGCACTCACACATGCACTCACACACGCACTCACACATGCACACACACACGCACACACACATGCACTCACACATGCACTCACACATGCACTCACACATGCACTCACACATGCACTCACACATGCACTCACACACGCACTCACACATGCACACACACACGCACTCTCACATGCACTCACACACGCACTCACACACGCACTCACACATGCACTCACACACGCACACACACACGCACTCACGCACGCACTCACACATGCACTCACACACGCACTCACACATGCACACACACACGCACTCACACATGCACACACACACGCACTCACACATGCACACTTAAAAACAGGCTCTGGTGACCAGTAAGGACAAGATCCCAGATGTGATGGCAGCAGGAGCAGCACAGCACTTTTAATTTTTGCAAATCAAAGGATGCACAGTCTCTGCACACATGAAACATAATGGAGTGCTGTGCTCATTTATTCACAGTGACAACAACATGCTGATTAATACGATTCACAACAACAAACATCCAGCGTGTGTGCGTGTGTGCGATTCCCGTATATTTAAACGCATCGACCCAGGTAGACATCCCAGCACTGCTCACCGATCACTTTGGGTCGTGGCTCGGAGCCACAGGGCTCCTCAGACACCGTGACGTTATTCCTTTAAAGTAATTACTCCTCCATTACACTGTCAGTAGAATCTGCATTCTTTTATTCTACTTCCAATCACTTACTAATGTGTTTTACAGTCAGTGTATTGATCACCGACCTCTCTGTTGGTGTAACTTACACAAACACTACCGTTGTTCCCTTATGGCTCATTCAACAGTTCACTGAGATCCCTGCTAAACATTTACTTATTTACATTAGTTACAAATAAGGAAATGCACTACTTTTGTAGTTTTAGCACCAAAATCTATTTACACAATGGCATCATTGGTGGCATAATATTCCCTTTTTGTGAAAGCTGCACCGCCTTCTGCTCTACGATGGCTGATCACGTTGCTACTCAAAGACATCGTGTTGGCTGAGTACATGATTGGTTTGACCAATCAAATCAAGAAGAACAGCAAAGCACATGAAACTTGAAGAACATAATCGTCACGTTCAGTTGCATTTCCCTCGCTTTGCTCTGTTTGTTGTAGAAGGACAGTTTGAGGTATTGTAAATGTTTGCATCCAGTGGAACAGCTGTGGCTCAGGAGGTAGAGAGGCCAGTCCACTAATCGGACGATCATTGGAGCCTTGACTCCAGTCAGCATGTCAAAGACAAGTGGAATAAAGCTTTGTGTGAAAATGGCTTTAAGAAAAGCACAATTTGGATCGTCCACTTATCACAGTTTCTCATTAATTGCTTAGCAGAGTACAAAAGTGCTTCATTTGGAGCTGTAGTTGCCTCCTGAGCCGTTTTGCACAGATGTGTAGATGGTATTCACATAAATGATATTGCTGAGCCTAAAGACTTCCCAGAGAACCAGGATCTAATCCCTCATTTCTACGGTCGCAGAGCCTTTCGAGAACCAGAGCACATTTTGACAGGTTTGAGTGCCAGTTGTTGTGTAGTGTTATTATCAGACGTGGAGTCATTTCTTTGAGAACCATGGCAGACACAGACTTTGGACTGCTTCTGTTTCATTACACATGATAGGCTCTCCCGTTGTCCAACATTGGAGCCAGCAGTTTTGTGGTACCGAGCTCGTTAGCACCAAAATATTTTAGCATTAGATGCTGCTTGAACGTGATGGCTTTAAATATACTGCCAAATGCTAAAAAAGTGCATAAACACACATCTTTATAGGTTATTTAACTGCAACTACTGTCTGGAAAACATGAAGTAAAGGTTAGTTGGATTTTTTTGAAAGTCTAAAATGCCGCAGAGGAATTCCCACCAGGGGACCGGAGGCAGTGTGCTACTTCAAAACATAACAAGTGTATACATGAGGTGATCTCACCTCTGTGTCTTGAGTGCCGAGATAACTTCATGGATAATCAACAAGTTCTACATAATAGTCTAAAAGAAACATATATGTCAGCCAGTAGGTCAGTATCTCTCTGTGAATCTATGATCTGCCGTTTTTCGCCGTCTCTTCTTACGCCGTCTCCCGGCGACACCATCAAAGCAGGTGACCATCATGACGTTGGCCTTGCAGAGGCTGACCTTGCGCTCCAGCCGCGCCGTCACCAACTCAAGTGCTTCCAGATGCTCCAGGGAGTCCACCTCGAACGTCTGCCATAGGTCGACTGGGG